GACGCTTTCTCATACCGGCACATGTTGGACCAGTGGGAAAGTCGGCCAAGAAAACGCTAAACTTTAGCACATTTAGCAGCCATATTGGGCGTATGGCGCTGACGCGCTTTTCCCTTATACGGGTGGCCGTTTGCTCCTGTACATTATTAATTCGTATAACCGTTTTGAGATTTTCACACTGTTCATCCACCCCTTTTTTTCCAGCAAAAAGCTCAGTACGAAAATGATAGCACAAGGACGTCATTTGACGCCGCGCACCGCCAGTTCACGTATTGTCTATTCGGCGATCGGTCCGACATAGCCTATAGCTGTTCATCTGCTTTGAAGGTTTTCGAAAAATTTCCCCGAGGAGGGGCATTCAGGCAGGTGTGACCAGTGTTAACGCTGTGGTGTAAACAAACACTTGTGAACAGCAAAGGCAAAACAAAAGACTGTAAAAGCTTTTATTTTTTTTTTAATGAAACGTATGTAATCTATGAAAGTTTGACGTTTTCAGGTTAGTAGAATATTTAATGTGTAAGAATAAATATGATCGTTTAGTACACTCGGTTAATGTATAGCATCATTTAATCAATGATAATTTTATTTCTTTATTTAATCATACTCATCGTGTTTGTAATATCATTGGCGGGACTCGAGGGCAACAAGCACTGTGTTTTTTTTCGCTCTAAACTCCAGTTTCTGCGCCGACCGCGTCTTGGCCAGTTATAAATATTTAGTCACTTGTTTAAACAAAAATTGTCTGTCACATGATTTTTTTTCTAACCATATTCACTCAGACAGCCCTTGCACTTTATAGTTTACTTATTTGTTAACATATCTTAACTTGAATTTATTAAACTTGAGAAATCTTTGGAGACATCCCGATAACTATATTCTGTACGCTTACATTGAACAGGAATAGGGTCACGGAGCGTTGACAACCGTTTAATCAGCGAGAGATATTCTCATGGATGGTATAACTATTTGAACGCAAAATCAAGTGGTTTGCAATTACACAAATATGTAAGTTGTCATGTAGAAACGATAAGTTCCTAGATCTTTGTGAATACATCATTTTACTGTTATGCATCTACCGATCCGGTCCTTGATTTTGCAAAGCCTTACATGATTGTCTATAGAAGGCGGGCTTTATATATATATATATGAAAGCGGGCTTTTATATATATATATATATATATACATATATAGGCAAGCGTATTATAATATTAAGCAGTGAGCTAAACCTTAATGATGATGTCTCTTATCGGTTTCGGGGACTCTAACCGTCAAACGTACGTATAAGGTGATGAGATGGCTGAGGTCAAACTAAACGGACAATTAAAGGTGTATGCACAAATAGAAGATGACTACCGCAGTAGTTGTTTTCTGTCGATACCTGTAAGATTCTCGTGCTTAATTAAAAAGGTGACGCTCACACGTGATGTTTACAATCCGTTTGTCGACTGTGTCTATTTGTTTGACGCGAACCACGTTTCAAGGTAAACAAACACTATCGATTATATCTGACACACTGTTTTCCATTTCGTCTTTTAGCACGGAGTTAGGAAAAACAGTTATTAAAGAAACGAAGTAAGTATATGCTATCTAAATCTGCGGATTTTAGGCATAGATAAGGCTGGTAAAATCCTGTTTCAGGGTTATACGGCGCGTAACACGACCTCACAAAGTAGACTGCCTAATCGATATAAGCTTTATTATTATCATTATTACTGTTGTTATTAAACCACGTTTAAGATCTATCTTCGATTAGGATTTTTACGTAGACATATAAAATCTACTATTAAAACGAATGAGTAGATGCATGAAAAATCGGCTATATTTTTTTGTAAATATTTCTATATACATTCTTGTTGCGATTTAACAAAACGTTACAAATGCAAAATAACGCGACTGAGGTATCTTTAATTACTTGACCGTCTCGATAGCCAACGATGTCGGCTGAATCTGCCGGAGAAAAAATATACTTAAATAGTAGATTTTATTTTCCCGCGTATTTTTCATATTTCGCTTAGGCTAGCTCAGTGGAAATTGCGGTGTCAGACTCAATGCTTTTCATTTGTTACGCGCTGGATACGACGAAGCAACCTGATCAGATAATTTGGCCATGTAACTTAATGAAGTTTAGGTAACTCAGGCAGGTTGTCTACTACAGACGACCTCAATATAGCAGAGAGTAAGGGAAAACGAAAAAAGAAAGAATAAGATCGAAATATTTCGAATTTAAAATATGTAGCTTTTGGCGCACAAGTTTTACCGAAGCGTTCTTGCTATTTTTATATGAGCATTACCACTTTCTTTTATAAATCTGAATAGTACGTTATAAGCATTACAATAGTAACTCTATCGTTATGGCATATATTCTCATTGAGGGTTTGCTGAATATCATTATTATTGAACTTCTACAGTCTTTTAGCAAATATTTAAAGTTTGAGCCTTGAGAAATTCAGCTAATCAGCAGATGGGAGTTCATTCTACAAAGTAAGTGAACAAGGAACGGCAAAACTATGGGATGCTATAGGATGTGTGTAATGATTATATATATTTATATGTTCGGATATTTAAATATATTCTACGAAAGATCTCTACGAGGACGTTTCACGGAGCGATATCTTCGTGTAACCCCAATTAACAAATGATTCCAGTTCGAATAACGTCGAGATTGATAGGACGCTTGTATGTATGCGCCTGCGCTGTATGACCTGCGCAGACGTATTGACATTATATTTTTGATACTATTATTCACAGATAAAGCCGAGGCCATGGCTTAACTAATTTCATTTTTTCGTTGAAGACGCGAGCGAAGTGATCATTTAAAAGGTACCAATACTGACCAGAGGTCACCTTCTTTCTGTATTTGCTATTCATACCATCCATAATCGCCACTACTGATTCAACTATATACACACGCAAATATATTTTTATATGCCTACATGAACACAGCTTTACTTCTATTTGACGTTGGTATCTTTTCATGAGGGCATTCCCTGTTTAGTCGATGCGCGGCAATGGCCATTGCCATTGTTGTTATATGTATATGCGTGTGTGTGTGTGTAATGCTAGGCCCCCTTCCCTGTGGGCACAACGACAAAATAGCGCGCAAAAATTGATCCGTTGCCGCCCACGTATGCCGTCGTCGCTGTGGCGCAAGAACTATAAAACATAATTAAAAGGAACACATTCGACCGTACTACTACTACTGCTAATATTTAGGACGTTCGCGCAGTTCAGCCTGTGGAGCTTTGCGAACACAAGAATTTATGAAGGGGGAGGCTCGAAGACTAGGATTTATCACAGGAAAGTTCTCTTCTAGTTGTGGCATACCGACTAGAATGGTTTGTTTCTGTTCTTAGTGCAGAAGCAGCATCATCTTGTCTTTATTGTTATAAATGTTGTTGTTTATGATCACTGCATTCTTGTTCTGTCATTGTTGTATTCGTTGAATGGTCGCTTCATTCTATTCGGTCCGTTTTTTGCGTGCTTACCTGCCTGCGGCCATCCGCCCGCCGCCCTCCAGCCTCCACCAATGCTAAGAAGTCCGTTTCGGGAGCAACAGCAATCTTTCGTTCTTCATTTGCTGCCGTTCCCATTTGGTGTTATTAGGACAGCCTATGCTTGTAATGGTAGCCGAATAGCTCCAGAAACTGGGATGCTATAACTACTGTTTTTGTTGTTGTTATTCTTTTTTTACTGTTCCTGTCTGTAATGTGTTTTTGATCCGCGTCAGTTCGACTCTGTATTTCCTGGCTCTTGGATCAGTGAAGCGATGGCGGCAGCCTTTTGTTGTGGGCAGTGGACAAAGAATAGAGGAAGAGGGATTTTCGAAAAGCAACAAAACCAGATTGACCTTTAGGCCAGTTCGAATTCAAATGGTAAGAATCGGCCTGCAAGTGATCCACGTTCCTGTGCTGATAAGTTGCTGCTGGCTAGCTGGATTTAGCATAAGCGTATTTATGTAACACTCACGCTGAAACAGCCTAAGGAAGGAAAATATGTTTCCATACGGATTTATGAAGGGAAACTTCAGTAATATGAACTTCAGTGAATATGTGATGCAGATTTTTTGTACGGATATATATACATAATTTTTTTCAGTCGGAAATAGACCAGACCGGCGGAGAATTGTGTCGAATCATCGCGGAAAGAATACTTCACCATTCTTACGAAGTATATAACTATAAATCTATGTCACAAGCTGTTACACAACGAATTTGCATTTCAGTGAATTTTCGCGCAAGGACCGCATGCAAAAAACACGTCCTTTACAAAAAAATACACTCTTTCTATTAGGACACGTTCCATAAACCCTCGTTTTGGCACGCGCTTGTCCATCCGTCTGCTGTTAAAAAAACGCCGCAGACATCTAACTACGCCGTAATCGAGAGACAGGGCATCATCTACTGGGTGTGCCACAAATAACTGGGGTCTTTTCAGAAGTGATAGAATGATTCCATCGTACAAAGGTAATACCATTGGAAATAGTAAACATTTCTAGGCCAAAACGCTGTCCTATAGCGGTATGTAATACATTCGAATTAAAAATGAAAGTAGGTCTTTTTGAATGATGCTGGTCTTTATCATCGTCATGGTCGTTATTTATCTTCTTTCTTCGGCTAGCTAGAAAATCTAGACGAACGTCAAAGCCAAACACTACCATATCAACTAGCAAATGCTTGATCCAAATGGTTTCAACAGAAACGCGAGCAAAATGAAGATTGTGACTATGATAAGACAGGCAGCAGTAGCAAAACCGTCAACCGTTACTGAACCAAAGCAAAAAAATCTGGTTGAATCGTTACATATACAGCGTGTAAGTAGCTATCCGATTTGCCGGCCATACCACGCGAGGCCGAAGCGGTCCCGAAGCGGCCCGATGTGACGCGATCACGAGACACGACGTCCACCCGGCCCGCACCGTCGTTTGCGGGGTGATAATGAAAATAAATAGAAACACCTATTAAGTATAGAATACGAACAGTTAGAATTTTTAATTACTCATTGCGATCGTTGAGTCCGTCGTCTCTTCATCTAAAGCGTATTGTCGAAGGGTTACTACCTTCTCTCTAGACAAAAAATTGATCGGCTATGGCAAGAAAATGGCGAAGGAAACAATCGTCAGAAACGATCTTCACGATGGCTTGAGGAGACAATGCGTTTAGTCCTGTTGCGACGTCGGCTATTATTTTAACGAACTAGACTGCAGGAATCCATTGCAATTGGACGACCGTTGAAATCTTCGCCCCCACTTTGGCAAGGCAAATCTTGGCTGAGCACGAATACGATACGGCAGCGATGTACGGTGATTTACTGTAGATAACCCGCAGTCTGACTTTACAGCGAGGTATAAAAAGCACTCAGCTAGCAGTGGCCGACGGCCCCAGGTCGATCCACTGCTTATCACTCGCCAGTGTCATCTGTTTGGTTCTCTGCCGTCGTCTGAGACAGATGTCCTTTGGGACAATGGACAGGAACATCGCCCCATAATTCCATCTGCTGCGTCACAGTCGAAAGAGGGCTTGACACTACAATGTTCTCATCGAAAGCTAACGGGAGACATCGGGAAGGTGGGGCAGAAACAAAACTCGGGAAATACTTGAGCGTTCCATAGAAAATGACTTCGAACTTCTGTGACCTTACTTTGGCTAATGATGAACGTAGTGATGCTGACGCTGTTGGTGACATGGTTGCAGGAAGGAACAGTGTGCTTAGGTAAGGCCGAAATGCTTTTACGAAGTTGTTTTCCTTAGGGTAATGATCGTTTTAATGATTTCAGATGTCTTATTGTTTATTATGGTTAAATATCTACACATGTAATCTTTTCTAGAGTGTCGTAGTGACAAATCTCCTATAGTTGGACATAGTGAAATGGAAATTACCCAATTTAGCTGTCGTATCCAGTCTATAGCTCTTAGTTGGTCAAATAGAACTCACTGTCGTAACCAAACCTGTTGTAAAGAATATATATATATATATATATATATATAAGAACTTTATATCATGTAAAAGGACTCAAACGACGCTATGTATAAAAATTAAATTACTAATAGTAATAGGGTCTTGTTAGTTGTAAAACAATTGGCCGAATCACCGTAGAACAGTCTGAGTATATATAGACATTTCAATCGACCGATGTTCTCCTGTTCTTGAATTAACGTATACTTCTTTGTTTATCGGCACACCGTTGTTAATTACATACAAAAATTAAAGCACAATAACCCAGTTGATATCGTCGAAGGTCTTCATAGCTAGCCGCTAGCAGCCTATTTCATAATCTCACGACCACGTCATTGACTCGCACCGCGACTGGCCTACTCTTGTATTCCAACTTTGCATATGACGCGATACGAATTTTCTGATACACCTGTAGAAAGTCTTATCATAGCAAAACCTGGAGTACCGTTTGCTTTTTGTTATTTAGATATCAGCTAATAGCCATTCACCTGACTGACTTTCTATCGTGTTCCTACGTCAGGTAACGCCAGCTTTCGTCGACGATAAACAGTGCAGCCATGTCTAATTTCTAAATAACTAGAATAGAATTCAAGCAAACTACATTAATAAAGTGCTCATGAAGATAATAGAGTCACTAACAAAAGCCGGCTCGACTTGTAGCGGCTTCGTTTCCATTTGCTTCCGTTCTATTCCATTCGGTGGCTGTAGTTGGCATCGGCTCCTGCTGATTCTACTCTGGTCCACGTTGCCGAGTGTTACATTGTCCTTATGCCACAGCGCGTAATACGTAAAACCATCCAGTCGTTGGTCGTCAACGTAACGACTCACGCGTGACAATACCTGTGCTATCGTATCAAATTCGAAGCGACGGTAGCGACTGTGACACTGATGCCGTTACAAGCTTTGAAAGACTAGCTCCAGCTATCGGTCGAAAACGAACGCTTCTATTGAAAACTGGACGATATAGAAACCACAACCACGTCGACGTCGACGGGGTTCTGACGTGGAGTGTTCGCGTTTACAAAAGTACCGTTACCCCCGGCTGCTTCTCTGCCCCACCCCCAACGTTTGCATCTCCCACGTGTTATCAGTGGCTAGTTATACTGCTGATAAATCAGAAACTGACACACAAATGGCGCCGACGCAAAACATCTACATAATTTACATTTATAATATCATGTGACCCCTGGACAACGACAAAAGGGCTCTGTGACGTTATATCGCTACGAAGAGAACATCGCGTTGAGGGAACGACCGCGGCTGACAAACAAATACCGCCTCAGCTGAAGTAGTTTAGCATAGCAGGTAGACGCAATGTCTACGCTGTAAAAAAGACGACAAAGCGCCGTTTGTCGACAAAGTGAAGAAGACGCACTTAGTAAACAGATCTGTTTAACTGGTTAACGCCAGGCACACAAGGGAACATCAACGGCAGTCGCCGCTGAACCATGGAAAGCGGCCATGACCATAAAATAATTTGCCTTGAAACGCATACATTTCAAATACCGCCTAGCGGACAGCCAAACAGATCCTGACCGCAAGCTGACACTGACATCTCCGCGCGGTTGTTTTCTACGTCAGCGAAGTAAAATGCACACAAAACAACGACAGCAGCAGCAACAGCGGCCGCAAAAACGCCGCGGTCGTTGCAGGCGAAAGGGGACATAAGACGCTGGAGAATAGAATTGCTATAGCTAAGACACCACTACATCTATTGTTTAGACTAGTTCGTGACGTACATTGCAGCCATTGTATGGCCGTACCAGTATATATATAGTGTAATAGTTCAAAGCCACCAAATATCGCACACATTGTTTTGCTAGCTAGAGGTATGAACAGCTTAAAGGGGAAAGTACCTCAAGAAGTTCGCTTTTCTGCACCTGAACCTAATTTAACTGTGTTTCAATGTTTCATATAGGCGCTTGCTCCATGTTCAGTGCTAAACCGAATGAACGGATAACGAACGCCAGCTTCGCCTGTAGACGCAGCCGCTGGCGGTTATTGTCAATACTATGATAGTGCTGTGCAGTAATACAATTGCTCGTCCAGCCGTGCGTAGCCAGTCAGATCTGTGATCTACCAATGCCAAATAAAGGCATCGTGGTCATCAATTGCGCTACTAAATACAATGTCTGGCTTTGCAGAAAACATCAACGGACCGAACGGAGTCGAAAGAGCAAGGCGATCATATCCAGTCTACTGTAATGTATCCCGTTTAGGCAGCGGCAGCAGCAGTGGGTCTGAGGGTGTTAGTCAAGAGTGAGAGGGACAAGGGAGAGAAAGAGAAAAGCTGTGAGACGGAAAAGGACGACCTGTTCCAATTCGGACGTTTCGTTTACGAAATCTGTCGATCATTCCCTGAGCTAACTCCTGGGAGACCAGAAGCGGCAATCGTGACAAAATGGCCCGATTCATTTCTGCGAAGATCTGGGCCTGTTGACGCAGCTTTGCGAACAACGGTCGACAACTCAAACTATTGGTGACGCCTGCACCCATTCGTATGCGAGTCTGTATAAGTGCATTTGTCTGCTTTTATTGGGTGCCTCTATCAGTTTGCTTAATGTTTTTCGTGTCCTGCATCCAGCGCCTAAGCCGTTAGGCCTTACGCCAGGCGCCTGGTTTTTTCCCAGTACGAAATGAATTGAAAGTTCACGCTCGGATCCGAACCTGGCCCATCACGTACGTCCTTAGGTTTTGACAGGCAAACATACGGTACCTACTGCGCTGTCACGAGAACATGACATTGTAAGTATACGTGACGCTATTCGAATTTGTTGACAGAGGAACGGTTCGTTTCGGCGACGAAGTCTGCTATCGCATCGTACGGCTTGACTGCCTTATACACGGGTCAATGTTACACGTACATTTCAATAGGGAAAGTTAAAGAACACGGCAATAATTTGGCGGCAAGCAACGATTATGGGAAGCTGAATGAACATGTGTGGTATCTATCGGCATCTAGATACAATTACATACTGTTTATCTGAGCTATTTTCAGGTTCTATGTTTAGTATGTTCAGTATTGTCCAATAGACCTTTTATGATTCGAATTATTTTTCTAAATACTTTATACACAGACTGAGCCATGATTATTCGCGAAGATTATCGCAGCAATACAGCCGACGGAATAGGTCTGTCATAAACGATTATATGGAAAAAAAGTACGTAGCTACCGGTCACAACAGCATACCCTACTCCATAAGATAAGTTTACAGTATGTAGGGCTCAATCTTCTAGTAAATGCAATGTCCACTGAATGAAACCCTGCTGCATTATCTGTTGATAGCGCCCGTTTCTATTCGCTCGATGCATCGACGCGCAGTACGTGTGTGTCAATAAAGTGTTGCATAATTTTTAACATGGCTAGTAAAATTAATGATCAAGATAACTGTATTTATCTGCAAGTACAGATTCGCCGTGTAGAATCATTGCTGTTCGGTCGTTTCGCCATATCGTCGTTACAACACACGCGAAAGCTCGTGACGGAGCGAACACTGTTGTTTGAAGCTGCGGCAGGGGTATCGATACCGAGAACTTAAAGCTTCAGAGCACCACTCGTTGTCGCCGTCACCTTCAAGCCCATCACAGGCCATCATCATAGACGCAACTGTTATTCTCTTCTTTACCCTCAGTATGCTTACTATGAAAGATGTACAGTTATCCGTTTGGAATACTTTGTTTGGAATCCGTTTGATTTGTTCGCTTAAAAAATTAGTTAGATAAGGTATGAGACGGATGAGCTAGATTTGGCTTAATTGGATATATCAAAATGAGATAGCTTGAAATAGGCTGATTTGTCTAAATCTCATTTTTGGTTGTCCGTATTCGTTGTGAACCGCATGATCAAGCCTCAAAGTTCAAGCTAAATCGAGCATATGTTAAAATGCCGTCAATAATCGACCCATCTCATAACGGGTTGACACTGGTGTTCTATAGATTGTACTGTTAATTAGTAAATGGTTGTTCTTAGAAATAAAAAAAATATTAAAGGAACCAAATTATGTAACTCATATAAACAATCAACTCTCAGATGAGAAGGAGACAAAGTTAATTAGATCATTCCTTACAGTTTTACTTGCGGTTAATTAGGCATTAATTATTTTCGGGTATGAGTCGCTCACTTTATAGTAAAAATTACATAAACCAGATATTTGTCCTATCAATCTAATCGTTTTCTTAGTAAAAAAAACTTAACAAATCGAGCTTTCGGTGTTGCCGTTCCAGGGTCCTGGCTCTTGGCAGAAAACGAATTGTCCGATTTCAAACCTGAGCCATTTTACGTACCTCTGAGTTAGACGATCAAGCCTGTTTGTACAGCGTCATCGAGCCAGCAGTTGTAACTCGTTGCTGAAGAGCCCCACAAAAAAGCTATACCTACTAGGGGTCGTATTCGTAAGTCGCAAGCCTTAAAAACATAAAGTTGCACTCGATAGAGCCAAATGTGGTAACGCCCCTCATTTTAACAATTGCGCGACGCGCGTAAAATACAATTAAATCAGTGAACGAGATGTTTGACGCTTAACATGGAACTGACGAGGTATCGGTATCTTCAGGCGATAGAACGTAGGTTGCTTAGCGCGCCCACCAGAAAATAACAAACTAACAGACTATCTGAAATTTTATCAGCTAACCGGCTCGTTTGAAGGAGAGCAAGCTATTTTCCAAACTTTACAATGAAGATCTGCTGCCTCCGTCGCTGTTCATCTTCTCAATATACTGAAGAAGATGGGCTTGTTGTTCGTCAGAGCCAGTGAGTCCAGTGTACGATATTTGTGCGTATCGTCTCGCAGTTAAAACGGCGTGAAGTGAAGAAAAAAAGTCCAGAAGCGTTTCATTTCGATTCGACTTTGTACTACGATTTCTTTAATGGCCATAATGTGTAAGTCGCCTACTGATCTATCATAACAGACAGCGTTGATGGATCTTGCCAAGGTTTATGCCGGGTCTTGCTCATTGAATCTACACATAGAGAACGCGATCTACGGTGTACACCGGTTCGATTAACGTAGAAAACAGTATTTATTTAAATAACGAAAGTGATTTCGGTCGATCTAAACGTCGGGAAGGATCTATGACGTACTATTGCTACATGCGCAAACAGCCGTTGAATCCGCAAGCGCCAATATCTGGGATCGTGCCGTAATCTGAAAGCAGAACAAATTCTATAAATCTAAAGAATCAGATGTGTGGATCCATATGCTTCGTTGTTTAATCCGCTGAAATCATTGGGGTCAACTTTACTTGATTACAAAATAGCAGCCTTTTAGAGACCTAAGATAATAAGCGTTCTGCTGAGGTAGATATTTTTCTTACTGACCAATGAGCTGAATTCTTACTTACTCGTTAAAATGATATGTGTATTACTGAATTTAAGAAAAAAAGTACCCTACCTGTTCTTATCACTGTGACCATGGTGCTTATTATTTTGATTACAGACGTGAATATTTTCAAAACCATGATTGTTATTTAATTGAGTTACTCGATGAGTCTATATAGTTGCTTGCCCTGATTTCTAGATGAAGGCTGTGACGGAGCTAAAATCTTCTTGCGACTATTAAAACTGTCCCAAATATACCTTGCCGCTCGGTCTGCTAATGGGCTTGTGAACAATCTAAGTTAATTAGTAGAGTAACACATAGTGGCGATAGTTTTGTTCAACGGACCCACGGATCGGGCACTTGTTCAGTCTTCATGTTTCGAGCATCACGTCCGGTATCTCCGTTATCTATTCCATCAGACGGTTAGCTCCCAGCACGAAGCAAGTTGCGTCTATGCCCAGATTCAACAATAATATGTCCCAAAGATTAGCTTGCAAACATGTTACGCATCACGGGGACACATGTTTGGCCTACTTGGTAGTTACAAGCTAACGACTTCATGCAACAAGAGTATCGGTACTCATTATCTAACGTCCTTATCAATAAACATATGAAAGATGGGCACACGCGCATCATCTTGCTATAATGTTATCCTGCCCTTCAGTGCGAGGTTTATCAGCCTGATTCGCCGCTCAGTATCTTCCCAAAAAATAATGGATAGCATTTGCATTGAATTGCCGAAATCGACAGACCTACAGATAAACGTTGACTTTTAGTAATGGTCAAAATGCATGAGGAGTGTCATAGTGTGTTACTGACGATGCACGCGACCCCGAATACAATAAAAACAGAGAGAGAGAAACACAAGCACCCATTGGATTCAATGGTGCCCACTTAACTTGATACTGCCAGCCAATACTGCACTGTGTTGTTCAGGGTTCGTCGTAAAGATGATAAGATAAAGTAAGCCTTTCTCCTGCTGACGTTGTTATTGTCGCCAGCCATTATATCGATTCAGAGCTTCTCGCCCACAGGTTTCGCAGGCTGGAATAGACGGACGGGCTTAAAGTGCGAGTGCTGTTACTTCACGAATCTTATGCTATGTGCGTATTGCTTTCATTTGATGCTTCAATTCGGAACCTCACTGCGGCATGACTGTGGCTCGATGGTCGTCCATTGCAACTATATTAACGTAGCCTATCGCGTCAGCTGCGTTGAAGCTGAGGGTTACATCTGTGTGCGTTGATCCTTGACGGTGAGCGCTGCGCGGTATCTGCGTGTCTGTATGTGTAGTCCTTTGTCTGTTGCTTTAGTAAAGGCCAAACCAACGGCATTAGTATTTTTTATAGAAGTACTGCATTCGTGTCGTTATCGTTTTCTCTTTGCTATTGTTGTTATTGTCATGTTAGCGCTATATTCATTGCAGTCATCATAGGCCGCTGACATTGCAGCAATCGTTGCCAGTCTTACTGTTGCTGCTCACAGCCAATCTATGTACATCTGTTTATTTGAACCCTTGTATCCCTTTATACGACAGCGAGTCCAACTTACTGTCTTCGTAGTGTAAGCTTGTGACAGGCGAAAAATGCCAAAGGAGCCAAAGCGACTCGCACCTGCAGGCCTGCGTCAGGCCGTGCTCGTCACTTACTCCGGCCATTGCGCTTTGTATCATTTGGCGGAATCCCCTGGCCGTGTGACCCCGGTGTCCGTTAAAAGGCTTCAATAATATATATGTGAGGAGGGACGGTGCCCGCTTATCATGTCGCTAGTCTGATTCGCCAGTATTTGCTGGGTAGAAGCATGGCTCTGATAATACAAGACCGCCACACTAGCCATTTTGCTGTTGGCTATTGAAACGCTCCGTGATCCGTGTCGGACAGCATGGTAAGTGCAAACTGGACGCTAAAGCGTGTCACGGATGCTGCTTCAGAAAGAAGACTGGTAAGCCGCGGCATCAGTGCCAAGCAGTGTTATCCTCTGACCATTGCAGAAGTTGCGGTCATTGTTTCTCTTACCGCAAAAGCGTTCGTTATATATATATATATATATATATATATATATATATATATATATATATATATAGACGGGGTGCCTCAACAAATGTACGTACAGTTTAGAGTGGCGAAGGCTGGCTGGCTGGCTGGCTGACCGACATTGTCGTCGCTGTCACCGTCCGTGGTTAAAATGACGCTGTTGGCCTTGATTGGACCTGCTAATGAAGATCACGATAAATGGATGAGAGAGAAGAGAGAGAGAGAGAGAGAGAGAGAGGGAGGGATGAGGTGAACGAACCAGAAAAAATAATTACTGTCTTGTGTTTTTGGCCTCTGTAAAAATCAAGAGAAGTTCGGGGCAGTTTCCAGTAGGAAATGGATGAGAACGAGTGTTTCATGATCTGCCGTCGTAGCTGTTGCATATACACGGTACGTGTTTAAATCTTCTATTTCTTTTAGGGTAAAGATGCGTCCAAAATGTATGTTTTTAGGCAAGCAGAAAAAAAGGATCCAAGCCAAATTTCATTCTGTTGCGAGTGATACATAAGTTACACGGCGTGGGGTGTCTGTTTATATTTGCAATCGAGAACTGGGTAAATTATAAATAAACACCTATAAGGTTCAAGTGATGGTCGACCCGCACAGAAATCTACTGCCTGATTCGGTCCTGGGCAAAGCCTGATACACTTAAACTTCGTAAATAACTCGCTGCTGTGTCAATGGAATCGATTTGCGACGGCTACTTATAGCTAAAAGAGTCTATTTTCTGAAATCTGTTCGCATCATTACTTTCATTAAAAGTACCATCCATATGATTGACGTTTGGTATTTCAAAATAGAGCCCTCAATCGGACAACTGCCATACATCAGTTGACGTCGGGTAGTTGTTAGGTGCCTCAGCAAATAAAGGAAGACACAGTTATGCCATTGAGCATGGCTACAAAAGAAGTCATATTCCCAGTCTTTTGTGTCTATTGCGCGTATGTCGAAGTACAACGGTGATCTATGTGCAGTGAACGCGACAAGCAATTCAATAATAGATCCCTCCTGTTTTTCCGACGGCTTCGCCATTTGCCTTAACGTCAGTCACCATCACAATGCACGTCATGGAAGTTGATACGTTGATAAGTTGCTATCTACTGATGATAGCGATTTGTTGGCCGCTTCACGTTAACCCATGTCGTTCGGGGGTCAAACCGACAGGCGGAAATTGCGCCTAGTTAAATAGCTCCAATTCCTCAAGTAGCTGATGAAAAGACGCTTAGTCAGCGACAGGGCCGCGTCGGGCGACAGGGAGGTTAACAACGGCAATCTTCGAGGATCGCTTTGCTCATTTATTGTTTGTCTTGTCCGCTTCTCCGCCGACTTTGTTTAGCTATTTCGTAACTTCGCCGAGGCACGTTCCATAGAGGGAAAGGTATTGGCATTGAAGTTGGTTTACGTAAAGCGCGCTAATGAACCGTCTTGCATTCGGTGAGAAAAATCGTATCAATTCTAGTAGGCCAAGCAACGGTAATCACATACACCACTGGAGTATTAGGCATTACGCAGATTACGTAATGCCTTGAATGGATGTAACAAAGTCGATGTCGTAGGTAGTGGTCTTATTAGCGGAAGGTGGGGGTCTAGAAGTTTGAGTTTGATATGCGTTTCAAGATTCTAGCCGAACTAGCATGAAGTGTACCTTTGCAGAACTGAACCTGCAACTGATGTTGACTTAGATTTATAGGGTCAGGAGAACCAATGCTATTGTGTTTGTAAGAGTTCGGCTGCTGGTGGCAAGTCTTAGCAGTCTTCACGGACAGGCGAGATACCGCCCTAGTAAGTTTTTTTTACAGAAGCGGGCTATATCAAGCATGCACAAACCAAAGAACGATGTTTTTCCATTGATTTCCTTACGATATTGCAGGGAACTGAAAAGTGTCCTGCATGACGAGCATAAGATGACAGCGACCTCGAATTCTCCGAAGGCGATTGTCACATCTATGCCTCCCGCCGGGTCGTCGACTGTGGCCATCTCGACACCCGATGGACGGTCCGGCTGTCCACCAGCAACGGGGCCGGCTAATGCCCGCCCAGTGCTCTGCTTTCAGCACTGTCTTCGCGAGGTGCATCTCTTGTGCCTGCAATTGCCTAACACTTGTCCTCTATGCGATAAGATAGTGGACAGGAATTGCTTGTTGGTAAGTCGAACATCAGGTTTCGGACAAGAAACGCTTGGTTTCGAATTTAAACCACCAGATATTCCCGAATTTCGAAGGCAGAACCGTTGGCTTAGTGGGTAACGTATTTGTCTGCTAACCTTAGAAATACGTTGTGGTCTAGGTTTGAACCCTAGGTGGTCTAGGTCCGTGTTGGGAGCCAGCCTTCTGATCGAATACCTAACGGCAGGATCGGGCGTAAAACCCGAAACACGGAGAGGCAAGGCATCGTGATATAATATCCTCATGAGAACCGCATCGTTGTAGCATATGATCTAGTATTTTGCTTTCTAACGTTCATGAAGGATAGCTTCGTTCGGCCTATTGGTGGGTTACAACTTCATGTAGGAGACAGAAGTTAAAATCTGCCTTATCTATCCTTCCAGCTATCACCCTCAGTAATTCCGTCACCGTTCGGGCCAGCTTCATCGTCGCCGTGTAGCGTGGTTATCAAGCCATCGAAAGGTTCTTTTCTCACCTCATTAACGACCTCATTGGATCTACACGTTGGTAAGTTAAATTGAAGATATTAGCATGGAGTACACCTTTCCATACAGAGCAAATTAGTTAGTGAATATTGATAAATAAATCAATACACTGTGAAGTTATTTCGTTTAGTATTATCAAAAACCAGCAGAAAGTAAATAAAAAATAAAAACATTAATTAATGCATATGGCGTTTTTAAAATTCGACTCTATCCATGTACGTAGGATTAACGGATTCGCACGGCATCGTTCACGAGTATGATCGTCGAGGTTTGACCGTTGGAGCTGGCGATTGGAGACAGTGTGTTACAATACCTGTAAGTACAACAGGTGCCTGGCGTTGTAGAGTGACACTGCCCATTCTGTGTGCACCGAACTTGCTTGCCTGACACATTATCAGGATCACATTTGATTGGGCAGCATCTTAATTACATTTTCAAATCTCAATATAAAGTACCTTAACTGAGCATGACGGTATGTAAATCCCACAATGGCAATATACAGGGTGTTTCAGAAATTTACCCAAGTCTGTGAACGATTAACCAAAGTTTCGTGATTTCAATATTAACCTTCACCGAAATATTATGTCTTGTTACTCTTTTTAATTTCATGTTTAGACAAGATGATGCATTTCAAAAGAAAACGAGAAGACAATCCACGAAATTTTAATCGAGAACAGCAGACTTCGCTCTAAGTTCGGCGGACTTTAACTTAAGATTTTAAGTAAGGCTTGACCCGTCCGAGATAGCCTTTTACGGGTTCTTTTCTCTGTTTACTTTGTATGTAAAATATATTTTTTCTCCACATCTATAAATACAAAAGGAGTAAAAATAGAATTGCACCGAAGTTAACACCCGAAAGCCTCAAATTTTCCTTTATCTGTAATAGGCCTGCGTCACTTCAACATCACCCTGTACTGCCATAGGCTTCCTTCATACCCACTTCGTCTTAAGCGGCCAAATTTCAACTGGTTCAAACCAGTAGTTGCTTTCTATTTTAATGAAAAACATCTTGTTTTTTTTTTTCTGTATTTAATTTGTCGATACTTTTTACCGCAATAAAAATAGATACTTCCTCACCAACCGGTTTACGACAGCTCACGGCTGAATAGTAGTGTTATCGTCGTTGTTGGCCATCACCGTGTCAAGTACCATTTGTTGTTGTTGTTGCGAAGGATGAAATTGCAAGCGCTGTTGTTAATTGGCCACTTGAACATAATTTGTACAGAATATGTCAATATATCTATACCAGTCGACACTTACCGATGGACGGCACGAATAGTACGAGAAATTAACTAAAAAATCTAACAATGTGTATTTGCTGGGTCGCATTGTTTGCAGTCGCTAGTGCCGTCGTCACTGATTTCATCGTTTTTTTACTTTTTTCTAAGTGGCCAGTGTTTTTGTGGTCAACGGCCGGTCGGCCTTGTTCAGATCGACATACGTGAACGGGCACATGACAGCAGAAAGAAATGTTATCGACATTATGCAGTGATAATAGTTATGTTTTCCCGTCACTTCAGACCATATTATTAGGTCGAGGGATCGTTATATCATGCCAGCCGGTGGTGAGTTGCTGTTAATACGTTGAGCTAACAGTGCGAGGTTGATTGCCCAGGGTCGTCTTTTACTGTGTAGTTCCTAGTGAATCAGCGTATAATCCAGTCAGGGACTGCAACCATATGAAACAGCCGAAACGAATCTACATGAATCTGAACGGTAATTCTGTTAACCTTAACGGGTTCATATATTTATGTCTGCTATGTACATCATGTAGCATACTTCAGCGTCTTTTTCAAAGCTGGCTATACTTTGACGAGATTTTGTAGGTAACAAAAAAGAGAAAATGCCCCGTAGCTGCCTAATAAATTGAATACCTGTTTCAACTTTACGGTCGGTACTTCCGTTAAGCACTAGATGACTGGCCTTCTCCAAGACCACAACACCCGCACGTCAATGTCTAGTATCGAACCTGGACCATCTCGTTAAGTATTCTGAAATTTAGCAGGCAAACGGGTTACTATTCCGCCGCTGCAGGTGCAGTTCAGTGCTGGTGGGTAATGCCAACGCGGTGTCTCTATCGCTTAAAGTCCATTCTTCTCTAGCGGAAAAAGCCGCATAAAGCGTGCCCGGCAGGATAGCCACATAAATCAAGACGGAATGGTGACTAAAGTAGAAGTGTTGCTTTATTCACCTGCCTCTGATTGCCCATATGGGGTACAATTTTAGCACTGCGATTGTCTTCTCATACTCTCATCTTCCTAACAAGTGTTCCGCAAGGCTTAGCCACAATCCTACAGGCTTCTCACCTCCGATTCCGTCGACGCTGATGCGCTAAACGAGTCGCCCTGTTTACTTGAAGGTGGAAAGGTCTGTGTGGAAGTTGGCTGGTATCAATTGATCGTATGTGATATTCCTTGAGCCTGCCATTCTACCAAAGGAAATTAGAGTCGCGGTCCATTACGCCGTGCCAACGTTGCGATGATGGAAAAATGGAAAAGGCGAAAATAGGAGTTTCAGTTTGTTGAATAATGCTGGGCTCTGCACAATTGCGTCGGCTCCCGGTTTCATGCTGCCACGATCGGCTTAAGCAAGTTATGCTTAGATAGTTCTTATTCGTTTGAATAGACCGTGTCACTGATTCAACGTAAGCTATTGATAGGCTTCGTTGGTACTTACGGAAATTGCGTGTGCATTGATTGTGAGTAACCATCGTTTCGGCATCGGTCACCATTGAACCGAAGAGTTTTCAGAAAAGAAAAAAGGCACCATGCCGACAGCTACGGAATAGTAGTGGGCCGTCATCTCCGTCAAGTTCAATGTGGCTTAAGTTGTAGTGGGTAGATCGACGAGAACAGCGTAATAGGCATGAAGATATTTCGACGTAAAAATTGGTCATTGAGAAACAAAGACAGCAACAGAAACGTACACTAGTGTTTTCGTTTTGCTCTATATTAGGTACTATTCCGAAAGCATCGGAGCTCCAGTAACAGCTGAGATTCCGAGACGGCGTCACTTCAGCTGTGAGGTGGTCAGAACACAACTGCGTCTGTACTTATCGTACTAACAAAATTGCTTAATCTCTTTGCTTTCAGCTAAGTGCTGATTCCAACGAGTCGAAGACGATCGATTCCAATTTCTGGGATTATACTCTCGAGATTACGGAGAATCGTCAGTGCTGGCAAGTTTAGTATGCTAACTTATTCGCACCCGGATATATAGGAAGCAAACATTTGTACACAAAAATTTTATGTAAACAATAAAGACATTGGAAACAGTCTAAGAATAATAGAAGAGTATTGCGAACTCATAGCTCTAGTAAGAAATCTAGAATTTTGTTTCGTATTCTCGAAGATATTGACTTTTTTTAATTATTTTTGCCGAAAGACCAACACCAAGCATCTTTAATAATACTCCGATATTTAAATAGATAAGAACATTTTTTTCTATAGGCGTTATCTGTAACAATGAGCACAATAAACGGTTCCAGAAATGTAAACATGATTGCTTAGTAAAGAGTGTCATTCCTCGAAATCCGAAGATCGTTAATTAGTTTCAACGAGCTTTATCTTTAAGTATACGACTTCCACTCACTTCGGATTTACTTATCACAGCGTCAATAGAGCAAGGCACTAATTTCATTTTTGCAATGAGAACAGCCAGAGACGCTATGTTTTGTATTTGGAGCAGGTTAACGATTGACTCTCCTGCTATACGACCTCACAAACTGACTAGTAATGCTTGTTAAAATCAATCTTTCATGATCTTTACGAACAATTTCAGGTCACGTGAGTGCTACGACGGCGAAGATCACAATTGCTTCACGTTTGTACTGGATTTTGTTCGTATGCTCCAGCTGCCTGGTCTGTCGGCTGTGGCCTTAAATCGGACACAGTTCTGTCAGCAAGTGATTTGTCCACGGATGAAGTCAGTGGCGCGGTACGTCACGCTATACCGGAAACTTGAAGCGGATCACATCTACGTAAAGAAGATTGCTTGACCAAATGCATAATTAGCCGATTATGCTTGAATTTGTACGAAGTCCGCAAGCAATTATTATTTGTAATTACTCGCTTCGCAGAGTTTACGCGTGGCCTTGTTCCTTCAGCTAATGGGAGTATCGTCATCGTCGAAAGAGGCCGAGTATCCTCAACGCTGTGGAGCATAAACAAAGCAGTAACTTGAGCGGATATAATAATGTGCTCCGTCTACTTGTGGTAATTTTTGGGTAGCAGTAGTCATTCGGTGGCTATCTTCTCGATCAACCTGTCACTGTAGTCTGCAGTAAGTGGCACAGCGAAACAGGTGCGTTGGTCCTCCTTGGGCTAAATCTTAGCGCTACCTACGTAAGCCAAAAAAGTATCACATCTAAAACACAAGGGGGCGCTTAACCTTCATTGTTCATTCAGGAGAGAATTGAAAGAAGAGACTTAGCATATGTGACGCCATTGTTATTACATAGAAGAAAAGATGTAGAAAAGTTCACGATTTCAAAGGGTTGGAACTAGCACGTTTAATACGTTTGGCACAACCGCGGTATAGAAAGCCAAATTTTCAAAACAGTGTAATGTACGTTACTCGTTGTTGTGGAAAATTTAACAATAACGATAATGATATTGATTTCTGCCACTTTTCGAGCCGTCCAAACGGTTATAGTGAGAAGCTGCACTTCATATCAATAATGAAATACGAAAGATAGAGCACGGGTCCGGCTGCGGCACGCCAATGGTTAGGAAAAAAAAAAGAAATTTAATTTGAACGTTTCGCTAAAGGGATATGCGATTTCAACGAATCCATCCAGCTGGTGATTTATACACTCATGATGCATATATTATGTGATTCGTCAAAAAAAAAAGGTCTTCCTAACCCTTTGGTAAAGATATTCATAATTTTATCTAGGTAAAAAACACATACATAGTCTATTCTTCCAGGCTAAAAATACCAAAGCGTAATTTATCGATTATACTATTACCAAAGTTAAGCCTTCTATTTAAACGTGTACTTCTGTAATTTTTTAAAACGAGCTCCATAGGTTAGTTGGCTGTCATCTTTAGCTATTAAAAAAGATATATATTCGTAAAAACACTAGAACCGAATTTAGCTGAATTCTCAGTCAAACATTGTTTGTTGCTTTAACCAAAGCTGATTTCTCAAAAGAGATGTACTTTGTCCGTACGGCCGTACTGGCCGCTCAATTTATGGACGTCATAAGATAACAATTCATCAAGCGTGATCAGCCAACACCTGCAATAAGTTCTGGTTGAAAGCACGTATGTGAACTTTGCTTGACTCTCAAACACGGTATAATTTCATTTTGATTCATTAATATGTGATTTTTTTCGTCATTGATTAATATCATCCGTCTATATAAACCTAGATTAGAACCCATGGAGAATGATACTTAACGATACCATTCCAAATATATAGTCAGTATAATCTAACAAAATAGCAATAATCGTTTTCGTAATATCTATCAAATCCTGCTTGAGTCGGATCATTTATCGTACTGTGCATACAGCAAAGTATGCATTAGGTACACGTATCTCGATGGGTTGCTTTCTAAGCAGATTTTTCCCTATGATATGTTTCCATATCATCACATGAACCTGCTTCTCTCTATGCTGTAAGCCCGCAGGTCGAATGATCCTTATACCTCCTGCAGCGTACGAAATGCTGAGAGCATACCTGCAATAGAAGATTTCCCATAATCCTGTACACAGTGTAATATACAGAATAAACAGAATTGGCCTTACACGTGGGTTTAATTAGTCTATGGCTTTGTGTATGTGCACGTGACTTTCCCACATCTCATAAAATCGTTTGAGGGAGGAATTCTATTTTGGGCAAACTTAGCAAGGAATCATAATAGCCATTTGGTTAAGCGGATTCTGTAAAAATGCGTGCAATGACTATGAATAATGTTACAGTTTCTAGATAAATATGTACTATGTTAGTATATAAGGGGCTGTTTGAAGCATGAAAAACCACATAAGTCTATCATTCTCTTGTTATAGCAATAGTACAAATATTTTAAGATGTTTTGGCGAAGTTTTAAAAGAAAGTTAAGAGAAAAAAATTGGAGACACTACCCGATGTGCCTCCTTATTGATGCATTATAATTCACCGTTACACGCTAAATTATTCAATGCTCACAGGCGATATTGTCGCTAAGCGTTGCTTCGGAGATGTTTGAGACTATGGCGCCTAAAATTATATATCTCCTTGCGACGCCATCCTGACAGTTAGAATACAGAGGCACGATATATTTTGAATCAGAAGCCTTTTCATGATACCCACAAAGTTGTCTGGTCCGATACCAGCTAGGTTAAAAGTATTATGGGTTGTTCGCAGCATGACATCGTTCTTTTCCGTTCGCAAACTAAATTGTCTGTAATGTCAGGACGTCGAGATCATGGTTTACGTGAAAACAATTTTTTTTCTACCAATTTTTCTATTACGCACACTCTCCGGCCGGATTCGAAGGAGCGCCATTAAGCTAATTTACTGCTGATGTCAAGGTTCCACATTCGGCAATATTATTAGCGGCAATCGGGCACCCGTAATCCTCTTTAAAAGGGCATTTATCTACCTGTATCTAGATAAAAAAAAAAAAGAAAAAAAAACTTTCCTTTTAGTACGGTTGCACTGAACTGGCCTATCGCCGTCCGCTTGCCCCACATCGTTCACCCATCGAAAGATGGATCTGCCCTTAAAGCTGCGCTAAAAATGCTACTTATTTGTTTTTTTAATATTGAATTAAATGCTAGGATTCGAATCAGTGCGCTGACGTAGGAAAAGTGTTTGTTCGAAAATACAGTAAAAATAAGCGTACTTTACTGCGAAACAAAGTGTGAGCAAGTAACAACTTTTTCGAGAACAAACAAACTTTAAAACGAAGAAGAGATTTAGGCTTTCGCAAGACATGAATTATCAATTTCAAATTGATTTCCGGTAAACATCCCTAGAAGCACCATGGACTAGAAATGCGCGTTGCAAAACTGGTACAAAATACCTAGTATTGAATTTCCAAAAGAACTTTTACGTCATGCTTAAAAATTAACCAACCTTTTTAAAGACCCCCCTTTGATCTTTTGGCCGAAATATGACAGACTCTCAGTGGTTCCTGTTTCACTCTGGTTACAATTCTTTCTAGATACAGGTTAGATAGTCACTGTACTATTTTACAATGTATGACCAATTAATTCTACGAACACCGCATTTCATCTTTCCAATTGGAGCTGATCTTTTGCCTTGCCTAAAGCAACAGATCGAACTCGTTGGGCACATTGCTTACATCAATGTAAAATCGTGACTGATTATACACATTAATTATACTGGATTAAATCACTTGATCGCCATTGTCATTTGATTTAATTTAAATTGAACATATTTACTTCTGTACCGTATGCCACTGAACCCTTTGTGTGTCTGCACTAGCACGTAACTATGATTACTAAGAGAATCTTATGTAGGTGCCATAGGGGAAAATGGCTAATATAAAATAGGAAAAAAATAGGCAACATCAATCGCAAAAAAAACAATTTGTTATACTAATTAGACTGCACTGCACAGACAAGACCTTCTTCGGGGGCTTCAAATGATAGGAAGATCATATTAAGCGCGGCGAATTAGTAGTTAGCCGTTCCATAGCCAAGAATCACAATCCGAAAACGTAGCAGGTAATTCAAAAAATCATTCTTATTTTTACTCTTAGTTAATAGCATCTATTTTATATTTACTTTACGATCTTACGAGAATCGAACGTATTTGCTAAATTAGGGCATATATGCAGGAAATCTATCAACGCAAGCGTTCCTATCATTATCTTTCTTCAAGCCGTAAGGCTTTCCGCGGTGGACGCAATTGAAACATATATGTCGTCTTTGTGGAGGTCTCATTAATTCCGAAGGTTCTGACGAACTCGATTTCTACCCGCTTACTTTCTAGTACTCGTAACAACTAAAGGAGCAGTGGGTCGCCCGAATATTGTCGAGATTCATTGCATACGAGTAATAACCGAAGTAGAAATATGTTGCGGTTGGTAGCGGTTACAACAATGTGGACTATTGATTACAGGTACCTTTAAGGTACGAATGAGACCCTTTGACCTAAAGCAAGTTTAGAATTCACTAGTTTGCCAGGACCATTTGGTTCATTTGCAGTATAGACGTAAGTGTGATCTGTGTAATAATAATTTCTATTAGTGTCATTGTCCTTATTATTTGTGATGTTTTTATCTCTGTAACATAGGTTTAAGCCTATCTATTTAAAACAAGTTCAGAAATACAAATTATTTAGCTATTTTTTACGTACTAATCCGGCGCCTAATTTGGATTTAGACCACTTTTACGTTTCGTGTAGTCCATGTGACCCGCGTGTCTTACCGGGGAGTTATGGTATATGCGCGAGCGTTAGCAAAGTGCAAAAACATTTCGAAAGGTACGTTGCTGGGTCAGAAGATAGTACAATTATCATTTTGATATGGTACATATTGTTCATAGCAGCTGCTTTGTTGACCTGTGGGGCTAAACCCTCCCTGTACGTACCAAATAAGGCAACTGGAAAAGGTTACTTGAGAGTTTGAGACTTTCTATTGTACATTTGTTTAACGGTAGCAAAAATAAGGTCTGATGAAAATCAAAGTTTGCAAAGAAATTCAGCTGAAAACTCGCAAAAAGCAGGGGGGCTTTCTACCAGGATGTCAGCCGACCTTTGTCCCACTGTATATACATAAGAAAAGAAAAGTATTTGTTTAAAGTTTGAATTCATCTAGAAGGGTGTTTCGTGTTCGTATATATTTCATATGGTACTCATGTCATTATTTTCACTTTGTTGAAACAGGTTAATAGTTTAACAAATTAGTTTTAAATTCCTTAAACAAGTTATCTGAAGTTGTTCGGTAAAAAGGTGACGAAGCCTAGATTTTTTCTTGAAACTTCGTGATGTTAATAAACATATTCTTACCAGAACTGATTGAAATCGAACTCCATGAGCCGTTGCTCTAAGAAGGCTACACCGTAAATGAAGCTCTAAAAACCACATGAATATAGACGCTACAGATATAGCAGTAAATAGCTATATAGAAAAGCACATTTTCAATAGCCCATTACTTAAGTTTTTTGCTTCATAGATGATATTGCATCGTGGATCACAATAGTCCAGAACTTTCCTCACTGCCGCACCTAAGTCTACAAATGATAAAAGGGTGCTATGACAAAGGAAAGAATAGAATGTCCGCCCTTATACGTTACCCAATCCTTAGCTTAGTCGACGACGACCTGCCCCCGGCACAGATGGCTTCCCATATAAGGAGAACATGAGACCTCTTTTTGTATCTGTCATCTCAATGATCCGGTCTGGCCTAGAATGACACATTTATCGGCTTATGGAACCTTAGGTGTTCTCACTACTTGAGATTTGCATCATCGGAACTCGATCTAATCTCTGCTTGAAAATCTCATGGTCCATTAGGCTGGATCAAGCTCTTACAATTTACGCTGTCAGCATTTGCAACGGTTATGGGACAATGTCCTGAAAAAAAATCTCTTTGAACGTAATGCCTTATGTGTGTCTTCGTTTCCATTATACTTGAATCAACAAATTCTCGTCCTGTTGTATATATTCTACACAAGGCAAGTAACGCGAGTTCGGTAAAAGCCATCTAAATAACATATTGTCTTATTTATGCTGCATGGTCTACGTATGTGCCACACAGAGGTAATTACGACTCGAAACAATACACAGATACCAAGCTATACTTGTGCAACTAATTTGCCGACTCCACTTGTCACGTAATAATTCAAGTTGTGCCGATGCTTTAAGTTACTTTTCATCTAATTATGGACAACTATGGTTCGTACATCCTAAAGACAGCAGTGTCTAAATTTAGACCAAGGATTTTTTTCATCTAAAAAGATTGGCTCTTTTTCTTAGGAATCGATTAGTTTGTATAGCAATGGCTATCCGTGTTGGGGCGTGCGCCAACTGGGTAATGGACCACCAAAACATTTGAAGCCGGAGATTGGCTGAGGAGAAAAACTTTGTCGTATAACATATACGGGACTAGATGCACTTTTGCAATTTAGTAGCGCTATACAAATAGGCACGATATACTGGAATATAAACTGGTATATGATACTGAACTAATTTCAGCCTTCCGATCATCGATGTTTAGCAAATAACTATTGACAGAATTCGCCGGATTTGCTTGTCATTAAATGGCGTCGGACAGACTTATGTTCAAGCGGGTTTGTTTTTTTCCCTAACTAAGAGTAGCGGAATATTTAGCGCGTTAAAATGCTCGCACTTCAGTCAACTGAGCAGTATGGGATACTCCCTTTATGTAGCCGTGTCTCTGCAAATTTGCGAGGACAAAGTACTCTTAGATAACTAATCGCTATAAAGTGACGTATGTCACATTTGATGGGCGATTATGATATGGGTAAAGGGACACCATTGGGCTTTTCTATGATACGAGACTAAAACTGTATAAAGTGATACCGTTAAATTTCGTGCCATAGACAAACAAACCAGCTTCAACAGATATTGTCCTTATCCACTTTCACACAAACATGTTACATAGGATTTTATGAAAAGATCGATATTCACGGTAGTTTAACTTATTCAACATACAGGTACCGTATATACGGATATCGACATGCTGAAATTTTCACGCATATCGACGATATATACCTGGAAAAATGCTTAAATTTTCTATTTCCGAGTGGAGGCAGAAGGTTTGCTTTAAAAAACACAGCCTAGGTTATAGGAGATCATATCTGACTGTTAAGAGCTAATTAATACTGATGCAAATTGTAAAGGACTGCGTTTGTTCTCTTAAACAGAGAGATAATGTATAGCCAAAATCGTATTCGTATAAATTACGTTGCGGCGCTGTTGTGCGTAACTTTCCACTCGCCCTACAAAGTCGCCGCCCTGGGCACCGATTCTTCTTGCAGGCAGAGAAACGTCTATACTTTTTGCGAAGTTAGTTAAAAGTTGTATGTTAAACGTATTAATTATATATATATATATATATATATATATATATATATATATATATATATATATATATATCAAATTAAATAGAAAACAAACATAATCAAGGCTGAACGTTGTCCTTGTCACGTTTGGTAAGTTAACCGCTGTTTAAACGTGCGCGATTATCGTCAATCAAATTTTCACATGTTTTTTTTGGAGTTCTACGTTGGCTCCGTTGGCTGAAATCGTTTGTCTTACGGAACTGGCATCTGAAATTCTAGCGCAAGTAATCCTCTGGAAAATGCTCTCGCAAGCTTTTTCGTTTGTGTTTTACGCGCTTAATGACGGCATCATCACTCTAGCTTCTCGCATTCGCATAACTACTTTTATAGCGATATACTGTTAAGTAGATGGTTTCTGCTTGACAAAAACAGCACAAAAAAACACAAGGACGTATTGATACGCTGTGCATACGCATGTCTAGGGATACAATTTTGATCAAATATGCTAACTAAGATGTTTGCCTTCCACAACATTTCCTCACACGACTATTGGCTTGAAATGCTTATCGTCTATGTATTTTAGCTAGAATTGTATGCTAGCTCAGCCGAGTTAAGCTTGAATTTCAAGGGTAGCAGTATGTCATTTCTCATTAACAATAGTAGTGTTGAACATAGGTTGAATTTAAGTAACAGTCATGGATTTTCCTTGGCTGATTTTATCATTTTTAACTATGTTGCCCGCCAATTTCAATTCAGCTGTGTCCTGTAGTAGAAACAAGTACTTCAAATGTCAATTAGGCAAGTTCTGTTCTGTGTAATTGCTACACGGCATGTTCACATAGCTAGCTGCATCTATTTTTCGAGCGATGAAAAAACGCTATCTTCAGCATAGTTCGGTAGCTGCATGTACGTTTATGTATACACATTTTACGTACGGACATGTTCTTGGCATTAATTTCTCATTTCTTTTTTTTGTCACCATCACCGAGATCAGACATTAAATAATCAAGTCCAATTTGAATTAAACAAAACGTGAGTCTGCATGTTAACCAACGGCAGACTTCAACGTACTGCTTAAACTTACACACGTAGAAACAATTTAAAAACAAATTTTTGGTTAATTAGCGGCCCGCCACATTTCGAGCATATGATCCGTTTGAAAAACTCTCGACTACAATACGACACTATCAAACGGGCAACAAACTTTTTGGGTTAACGGAACTAGTACCAGTGCAAAGCTCAAAAGTAGCTCGGTCGAACCGCAAACATCGTTTGAGCGCTCTCTGGGCTCCGACATATGCAAATGGATGTAGAGTACGATGAGCTGCATTTTTTATATTTTTTTTTATATTTCATATGGACAATGAGGGAGTCCTTTTACGACAGCCCGTATGGTAATTTTTTGTTTTCTCAAATAAGCCGCTTTTGCACTAACGACTGGATCGTACGACTTTGGATAGTTACCACCAAACATAACTAGCTATCGGCTTACTATTATATATGATGACTGGCATAGTTAACTGGTTGATGCTAACAAGTGCGAACCATGCCTTAGGAGACTGGAGCCTATGGACCTAGAAGAGCGGTGCGAAATGCATCTTTAAGGTAAACAAGCCGTCTTCATTTTAGGTTGAACATGGGAAATGCATACGTCTTTCTGAAAGGTCCGTTTTAGCACAGGCCAATCGGAGATAGCTGGCAAAGAGCTCTATTCAAATGAGGAAAAAAGTAGGCATACATTCTCTGCTGTTCATGTCAAGCCATTATTCCCAATTCGTTTGGCTGGCTGATGAATAGCGCGATGTAGTGTCACGCTAGGAAAAGCACGGTACAGACAAGGAAGGAGTGTCAAGGCAGTACAGTCTGACAGTATAAAGTCTCTAGGCAAATAAATATTATCCCCATCATATCGACTGAAATAATAGGAAAATGCAAATTTTTTTCCAGTAGCGGCGGACTTGACTGTGGTCCTCATTTATGACTGAGCGTAATACCCCTTTTCTATTTCCCCTTTTTATTATGTTCTGAAGTCTTAGCATTAGGACATGTCTAATAAAATTCAATAGCTGCAAGAATGATATACGTGTAACTAATTAGGTTAGTAGAAAGGTTGACTCAAGAACTTCGAACAGTCCGATCTTCAACCAAGCAATCCCTGCCTCGTGAATCGCTTCTCCTCCGAAACAAACCTCACGTGGTTTTTCACTTTCACTGAAGCAATTTTTACTACAGTATTAAAGCAAAATCTCAGACACGTGAAGTTGATGTCTCCATCATAAAATATTCTAGATTTAGCCAACCAGGCCAAACGTGTGCCGTCCAATTTCTTTCTTTCGTTTCAACCGTCAACAAACAAATCAAGTCTTATCGCTTTCGAGCTATTTATTATAACAAAACTCATGATGCCCATATGATCGCGCTGTATCAGAGCCCTCACCCTTCAGGGTCCTCCTACCAATCGGGCCCTCTCAGATGGGCTTCTTCGCGCTAGCGGGTCCTCGCGCCTCTCGGCGGTACTAACATTCACTGGCATCGGATCTACGGCGTTCTCTCCTAGTACGACGCACTCACTGGCAACAAGCATACGGGTAACAGCATCGAGGCATAAGAGGTTCGCCAGTAGCAATTTTCTGACTGTGACAGCAAACTCCAACGACAGCACCGCCATATCGTTTATCCCTAAAGACAACTATAGATCTTCCAAAAGCCACCCTCCGCACTGTGACAACTGTACAGAGGTAGGTATAAGCGAAGCGTACGTGCACAGAGGTGTCTCTAGGGTAAATACATACAGAAATATCCATACAATCAATGATTCTCTGTAACACAATGATTGTAAACATGCAGAAACAACCGCTTTTTTTTTTCTAATCGTAATCCTGAAGACTATCTAATAGCTGGGCAAATATTATAACTAGCACAGAATTCGATGTGGTTAGAAATATATCTATAGCGAGCTCGATTGCACGTCCTGGCAAATTTGTCCCTTCCCTTACACGGGGTCACCGCGGAGAAAAAACCGGAAATGAATAGTCGATTCGTTTGCCTATCGTCCGGTTTGTAGTGGCGGCCTTATTGAGCTGAAAAATTTACATGAACCTTCGAAATAGGTCAACGCCTTGGCAATTAAATGATGTACGCGGGAGACCTTGGAGAAAGGTAGGACGTACAGTCGCTAAGCGTGCGCACTGCCACGCACTGACGATGGCAAAGTGTTTTCGTTACAACTGCGTATGTGAATCCTTCAAGATTGATCAAAATCAGGCCAATTGCGAACCCAGTTATCAACGGTAGAAGAACTGCAAACGAGTTTATGAGCAGGGAGATTTGATTCGAGCACAACAATATTCGATAGGCCGAGCTGCTTTAAGGTTGAAACTGCGTGTCTTTGTAGCTGGCAAGAAAAAACTGCCTTGATGGCCTAGACGGTCGTTTCCCATCAGGACAACATGCCACATGTTGATTCTAAGTGTTAGATTCTGAACGCGTATTGATTTTATCAAGCAATGCGGGTAACGTGAGAGATCGTTTAAGTCTAAAGCAATTTTCTAAATCTAGTGCTTTACTAGTAAACTTCAAAATTTCTACACAATGCATTTCATTAACGTAAGTTAGGGGGGGGGGGGGGGGTCAGGGGATAATTGCAGCTACGTACGTAATTGTTGCGAAGCGGCACCTATCTATGTATTTCGAAAGACTAACTGTCACCGTTCTTTTATTTCGTCACAGTTCTCAGTAGACAAAGTAGCATTGAAAATGTTCAAGCCGTCATATATTCGTACGCAGGAGATAAGTTTTAATTCACTAACATTAGATCGTAAACTGCTAAAGGTCAGTGCCGCTATAAGAAAGAGGTTCCTCGGAAAACGCTGTGTGCCTATGTAAATGTAACAGTTATAGATAGCTTTGCCTTTTATTGCTTGTTTTAGTATAATATTGCTGCTCTCTATTGGCACTGATTGAACGAACACAAATTTACTTTCAACACACAACTCTGCCAGACAACCAGTCGGGATCTGTCAGACGAAGCCAGTAATGTAATGTCTAGCTTCGTGAAGAAACAGATGAAAACTTTTCTTATTTTTCACGAATTTTGTTTTCATCTGTAGATATCTTCAGCCAGATCTTGAACCCCAGTTCTCCCTAATGTCAAGCGATTCATCTGACCTTATCCTAAATCGTACTGAAATAACTCCGTAGACGATCATTTCAGTACTCGCAGATACTAGCTCAACCTTGCAAAGCTACTAAAGTGCGCAAGAGTAGCCACTCTTGTTTTCTAACAGATATTCTAGCAAGCTTGTCTAACCTTGGAAACTTTTCTTACCACCTGCGGGTATGATTAGGTTCTCGAGATCACCTAGTAGGTATTTGGAGGATCAGTTCAAATAGAACAAGGATGGATTTTGCTGGATTTATCTAGGGTGTCTTCAATAGACTCATCATGTGGCATCGTACCGTTTGGCGACGCTTGAGCTCTAACCAGCGATGGCCGTACGCTATTATGGCAGCACGCTCAAAGCAATGCGCATTAGATGACATCTCGATTGCGGCGTTCTAACTCCCGACAATACCATTCCGTACATTTTGCGGCAGCTGAGATTTCATTGATAACAGTATCACTTTTAACGGGTCGCTTTGTGTGTGTGTCACCCTATACCTTATACATTTCCTCGAAATCTAATTTTGTTTTTTTTCCCTTGTTTAACGTAGTATACATAGTTTGAAAGCAGTAGGCACCGGTGTTAGCGGTACGAGAGAGACTTGCTACTTCTTCCCCATCGATGCGGAAGCCGTCCTTCTCATCGTTAATCTGTCCTCAGATTCAGCTGTCACTGAGTGTAACGATCAATATTCGCGCCGGGGATCGCAGCACAGCCGCTGCCGCGTATCCAGTACAGGCTCGTTCCAACGCCTTCTTGACGTCGCTGTTGGGCAAGGGTAATCGACGACACCGAACGATCGTGGAGTAGAAGTAGGAGAGAAGAGGACGCGAGCGTTGCCGCGCTATTTAAAAGCAGGCTCAATCGCAGACGTTTCTGTATTCGCCTGAGTTAGCCTTGGGTCAACAGTGCTTGAACGGGCTGGTGAGTTCCTTCTATGCTATGCTAACGACCATTGTTTCACTCACAGATTTGTGCGCTTCTTTAGACGACATCAGTGGAATAGACATGTTCTAATTATTTGTTCTTCAAGTTTAGTCTCTCTATTGCTTAGTCATTCATTCATTCTGCCAGCGCCAATTCCGCAGACAATTTTTGAAGCGGTGCTCTATAGGATATTTACGATACTGCTTGTCCATAGATGCTAACTATATCCAATGTAAATGGCTTTGTCGTGCTTTTACGCTTAACTGGTTCAGGTAGTGGTGTTTTATAGCTATTTTTAGGAAAATCTGTGCAAAGCTGGAAGAAGTGATGGACGCGACCGTTAACTTGAGTATCAGATAGTGGACTCGGAGCGTATGTAACCGAGTGTAAGATGTCAAACCCATTAAGAAGGGTCGATGTGCCAGCGGATCCTGATAGGTGAATTAGTCCAACTGAATCATTAATACCATATTTGAATGCTTTGTCCCAAACCACAGTGGCGTACATAATTATCGGTTTCAAATGCGATCTATAGAGGCACAAAAGTGTGTTAGAGAAGACCCCCCTCCTCCTCCTCCTCCTCCTCCTCTTTGATAGCATTGCTTTTTTGGCATATTTTAATGACGAAATGTTTGTCCAAACGACAGGCCGAGATACGTTAAGCATGAGCTTGATTGAAAGACTGTAGCATCAGGGTTGAGGCGTTAATGGAGCATTGAAGAGCGTCGAAAAAAGCGACATTCTATTTAGGAATGTTTACAAAAAGGCCAAGTGTGGCATAGCTAGGCTTATCGTTGGATCGACTTTGTGGATCTGTCTTTGATGATGAAGGATGAGGTTGTCGGCGAAGCAAACGGCATGTAATCTGTTTTTGCGGGACTCAAGGTGGAGAAGCCGCACACCCCTATAAAGAATTTATCTATAAATGGGCCTAGAAGTGAGGAACGTTGCTAAATCCGAGACTATAAGACTTGAGCCAGTCGCAAACAATACATAGCAGCAAATAATCCTGAAAAGTTTTGAAGTTAAATGTCTATGCCATATAAATCAAGGCGTTTCCTGTATCGTAGGGCTGGCTTGTGCGGTTGTGGAACTAGATTACAGTAGAGCGAATAAAGAGAATTCAATTGCGAATTTGGCAAAAAAATAAATTATAAACGATGTTTCGAATTGGCGTTTACCATATTTTTCAAAGGTTTTCACCCATACATGGGTTAAACCTGTAGGTCGATAGTTTGTTGGGCTATCGCGAGTGTTTTTACCTTTGAATAAAGGAATGACGTAACCACAAACGATCCCAAGAAGCCGAAAACTAAGATAATTCTAAGATATGTGCGAGCAGATAGCTAATTACATGTAATGTTCAGTGGAAGCGAGGCGGTGAAGTCAGCTTTTATAGACATGAGCCAACGAGAAATTTAGAGGAAGACAAGTAGAAAAAAAAACGTTCCGAAACAAGCGTCATGGCGTGCGCTGGTAGTGAACCCAGCTGAAGTGCTGTACCCAAGCCCACTTTTCAGGTACTTTGTTTTAGCTCCTGAGAGTGGTGCCATCCAATTCCAGAGTACTTAGTAGACAGGTGTTTTCAGCAGAGCCCCAGAATCTATCGCAGTGATTTACCGTAAAATGTATTATTGCTCTACCGATTGTTTTGCGCCAGTCTTAATTGGCATCGTGTTGATAATGAACATTTTAATACTTTGCAATACGTATCTTTGCGTTGTTGATTTTCTCTCGAATACATTTTTTTTCTAATTCGTCAAAGCTATGCATAAGGGCTTCCTTGAACTATCAATACGGCTATGTTTGGAACATGATCATGTTTCATCACGCTCTCATGTGATGTTTTAGTGGGTTTAAGTGTTCTCAAATTGACCTTGCGGCCTTCGTGTTTGTACATATAGATAAAATTTTGTCCGGACTGGGCTGAATTGAATACAGCCTTAGACTGTGAATTATACTAGCGCTTAGGATACATGGAACCTGTTGCTAGGATGGAAGCTTTCAACTGTTTGCTCGTATACATATGAAACACTACGTATAAATATGATGCGTTATTTTAGCGTCTATTCTCAGTTTCCAAGTGGAAATATCTGTATGCCGTAAGAACTATCGTCGTTTCCTGTCCGTTACCGATACGTGATGAAAGAAAGACGAAGTTTTACTATATACATATATATATAATGGCGGCGTTAGAGAAGGAACTAAGCCGAGCTTCTAATCGTGCATAGTTGAACGATTCAATATATGTAAAAAAGCAAACGTCGTTGTATACAGTCTCCGTGGGCCTCTCAAGAATTAGATCACGACCACAAACAATTTGAATGGCGTCTACGTTTAAAAATGTCCTAATGTGTATTCTTCAGGAGAGAAACTGGCATTTTTCGAATAATCTCTAGTTAATTTCATAAGTATGAATCTAGAAAGTAAATCAAGTGTGGAAACAACGCAAATATACTGTGATAAAAAAAACGCGGTAGTAATAAAGTTAGCGGCGTTCGTGGCGGAAACCTCTGGATTGGGCGAGAAGTCTTGAGCGGTTTCCTTTGCCGTGGTTAGATGGCTTTTGCCGACTGACTATCAGGGCGTGTCTCTGGATCAAAATATCATTGCCACGCTGTGAATAGCATTTATCGATCCTGTTCCATATTCTCTGGCAACTTATTTAGTAGCCTTGGAAACTGGCTCATTAAATGGGTCGTGGTAACTACTTTGCTATTTGGCCGAGCTACATATGTTTATGGAGGCGTTACAAATGATACGTTTGATAGGTTACTGCGTGATGATATCGGCTCTAATTATCAATGAGTACATATTTCAACGAATCGATTGTGGAGGTGGTAGTAAAAATGAAAAACACTAGTTTCTCTCCAGCACACCTGCCACATGCTAAACTTTGGTTTATTTATATAAAAAAGGCTGTATGCATTCTATAGTCAGATGTAATAGGTGAGTGCAGGCACGTCCGGATAGTACCATGGGTAACTTGGCCATTATTGCCAACATCACCGGCTCTTAAAAACACCCCCGACCCCGCCGCCCCAAATTGACTCTGGTCAATTGACCGATATTAACCACTGAATGAAGTCGTTGATTCTATGCTATACAGGCATGCGTATTAAATAAACGCCACAGTTTAGGGTAACTCGTTTGACGCTTTTTTCGTACGGGATGTCACCAGGAGCCATTGTTTAAACGGTACTTAAAATCAAGCCAGCCAATGCAGTGCCTTAGAACTCGACCATAAATCTAATTTATGTCATAATAACAATACAACAAGTGCTTTTCAATCTGTTTCACTATTCGAGCAAGCAGAGACTTCTGTCTCGGATAGAGAGTAGACTCGCTACGGTGTGAGTAGGAGGTGCTGCAATGAATCAGACGAGTCTGCTAAATCGGACGCGTCTCGAATCAGAGGGCCAATGAAAACAAAAACATCATAGGTAAATATTTTGTAAGCGCACCTCATTTATGACTGGGTATGTTTTTTGCTTTTTGACAGATTCGGCAGAACGTTCTCGTTCACAAGTTAATTCTCTGACTCACTGTAGCGTTGCTTACAAGCCAACTACAAGTGTAGCTTTGTACCCCAACGCCGTTGTTTAAGTTGCTTTGAGCATCTCGTGGAGAAATTCAAAGATGTCGACCGTGTCTAGGCCTCGCCAGAACTTCCATGCTGATTGTGAAGATGCGATCAACAAACAGATCAACATGGAACTCTTTGCATCCTATACCTATCTGTCTATGGTACGTATATAAAAATAGTGTATCATAAAAAGTTTAGCAGTAGCTGATACATATATTATGATTTAAGCTTATTTTTATGACATCATCGAAGCAGCCTCATCGTTCCTAACCTGTAAGCGATCCGTCTCCAATTTATTTTGACAAACTGTTTTTTAGGTTTTAGGTGGAACACTGTTTCTGAAAGCCGAAACCTTATATCAACGGATCGAAATTACCCATTTTATTGATTTTATCCGACCCATGATATTACTTACATACTTTAGCCTCTTGCTATGTCGTCGATTCCCGCAAATGCAACCGTATGAACGTCGTAATAATACTATACCGCGCGCGTTCAGTCATGCTTTAACGTAAATACTTCCGATGCACGCATTGACGCTAACGTTTGCCCCCTTACATTTGTTTAGGTATCTTACATTTTGTCTTAGCAAACAGAATTTCTACTGAACTGGCACCCTGGGTAGCTGGATAAATGGGCATCGATTCCGTAAAACATGTTTGATTTTTCCTAGCTTGACTCCGGTAATCTTTTCGTTTTGTATAGAAAAAGCGTTGATATCGTGTTTAAGCTATTTCGCGAGCCCTTCTAGTAATAATAGCAATATTGTTGATGATTGTGATCATTTGAATAAAAATCTAGGTTAAGATGTGGTGTATATATGGAAAATTTTGACGTTGTGAACACTCATGGGCACAACAAGAGAGGCTTTGAAGAAGTACTAATTTGTACTCTATTGTCTAGAATTAGTAAGAACCCGCAAATTTCTTAAATTTACTTACAATAACACTACACGAAAATATCGGCAACTTTCTAGCCATATATATATATATAACTTAATATAAATATTTCAATTCTACGAAGTTTGTAACTTGAAAAAATTTACACAATTTGCGAACAGACTGATGCACTTTTTCCCATTAAGCCTAACTAGTCCTAGTTGGCGTAGGGCGATTTTAGAGGCTTTGCAGGTACCAAGAGGCGCCTGTAGAGAAAGGTCGGTTGGCCTGATGCCCTTCAGTTGTCAAGGCGATTCTTCAATAAATATTTATTACAGGTTCATTACGAACAAAGTGGGCTTAAACTCTTACAAGCAGGAGAAATTGTACAGACTTCTCCTGGCCGTAAGAGCTGTGATCCCGTAAGAGACATGCTGTGTGATTAATCGCCTTCGGAAGTAAATGGAAAAAGCACATGTATAGTGCGACATTTGATTCAAACCGTTTCTGTTCATTATGGGTGACGCGTAATCCGCTCAAACGAGATAGCTTTCTGTAGAAACCGTATGTGTTCGGCTAGTACAGTTACCTCCGAAGAAATTCATATAACTACATGTGAAAATATCTCAAAGCTAGACGTTTCTCGCGGGCATCCTGCAGTAACACAGCTAGGTGAGGCAAGTTTTCCTAGACAAATACACTTCTGTCAGTCAATGAAAAACACACACAGGCAAAATAAGATCACCCAAAAGGTCTGTTGCTAGCCAGCGAGAAGCGACTGCAAGGTGACTCATCAGAAGGACCAAATACGTCCTTAGTCCAAAGGAGTTCTTCACGCCGACAGCCCGCCGCAACAGCTCCTATAGATGTTATTGTTCTACGCTTGGGTTATTTAGCCGAAAGCGCATATTTTACTGCGTCGTGTGCATGGCACGTAACTGACGTTGCCGCCGCAGCTGCCACTGGCGCCGCAGTCGCTGGCAATGAATCGCTTGTCTATCTCCCGCGTTTAGCTCCAGGTAATGATATTCTTATAGCTAAGTCCATCCATGTAATAGGGCTTTTTCGTCGAACTCGGCCAGCCCGTTCATGAAAGCAGCACCTAGTAACTGCACCGACACGCTCTCGACACAGACGTATGACCACAACAGCGACATCTGTATTGGGGACGAGGTCGATAAAGTAAACAGTCGAACGAGCGTGACATCATCGGTACACAAAGATTTAAATCGATTTTGTTGTTGTGACTGGGCGTTCGCTAATCAACCGGTCGAGTGCTAGCGCAATGATAGCGTGCTTGCCTACTAAACATACGGCCTTTAATGAAAAGATGGTCTATGTTGAAGGTTGGTCATAATCCGCGGCTTATTTCGTGCTGGTGGGAGTTGGCCATTTCAAGCAGTACTTGACTAGGGCAGGAGAACCGGATATGACATTCGGAACTCGCTTATATAACATTCAGCTTTCTATAATGGCTTCCGGACAAGAATGGTTCGATCGTAATTAGTCGATCAAATAGTCATAGTATCGCTAAAGATCGTCCTTAATCAGCTGCCCAAGATTCCGTAAGCTACAACGCTGCCAGTTGAACAGTTTGCGAATAGATCCCTGGCGGTGAGGATTGCCATTCTGTTCTGTTTAGTTATGGAACGAACCGTTTAGCTCGACTTGACCGGCCACTTACGCACATGCTCCAGCTATATTGCCCCATGTCCGAACTGCTACTTGCTTAGTATCGCTTGCGGTTATTCTATGTGGAACAGCGAAAAGCCACGCAGAATTCGCCTGTTTCAATAGTTCTGACACGCTGAACATTTGACTAGCTGGCTGGCTGGCTGGCTGGCTGGCTAGTTAGCGGATAAAAAAAAAGCCGCGGCAAAGTTGAACGTTGTTTCCATTACTACGAGCGTCATCAATAATGGTGTTATGTGATTATTAATTCGTAAATAACACTCATAACAACAAAATGAAAATTGCAAGCACTAATAGCGGCCGATGCGGTGAGTGTCACTTTTGGTTGGCCAATTGGAATTGTGAATAGAGCTTTGGACCTATTGAAAGTTATTTAGGACGTGATTGAATTTCATCAAAGTAAAAAGACACATTTTTTTTGCGAGCCAGAAAAGCTAAAACAGGATCCCAACTGCCAACATCGTTGAGAGTTGACATCCTGTAGGCAGATTTTTATTGAGCACATTCAACAGAACCATGGAAGTCTCAGTCCGCTACGATTGGTTTTAGACAAGGATTTCTGCTGATCGCGGACAATCTTTTTGGTCCTTCTAAGGACATAGTCAATGTAATGGCAATAGACACAATGCAAACATTTTACACCGCCGATACTGAAGTATCACAATAATAACTCCTATAATTAATTTTACTTAGAAAAAGAACTGCAAGTTCGAGACCGCACACTGATTTTTCATTGTTCTGTATATTGTCATCATGACGGGCAGCAGCAGCAAAGAGAAGCATTTGCTACCAGCTGTTTTCTGGCTTGCTAGCTAAGATTGGACAGCTCTTTAGAAAGCGTATACGCCATCCCAACGAACCAACATGGGTTCCGAAGAGAACCCTGTGCAGAAATGGCGTGCAGGATTTTCAGAAGAGCAGTGGCTACGTCGCGCAATGCGCTATACGCAGTGGTCATCAATTTAGAAACAGTTTTCCGTTTTTGTCCTTTCCGTCAGGTACAAGACTACGCTCACGCTAACCGAGTTGGGCGTCCCTGCGAGTGTATTCGGCCTTTGTTCTGCAATTCCACAAAAGAACAGAACCATCGATGACGGAGTGGCTAAGCTGGCACAAAGACGACTGGCCTGGCTCAGGGGAACAATTTAAGTTTTCTCACATTTTCTATTTTGCTAAAAGGCCTGCCTCTTTGATTAAAAAAGGTCGAGCAGGTTTTAGGTGCAGCAAGCTCTGGCACGGCTCCTGCGGCAATTAACCGTTTAGAACTGGCCGTCGGTGCAAAACGGAGACGATGAAGATTAGGAAGGCAACCGGGTCAGAGGCTACTGGCACTTTGTACCTCCGAGTCGACTCTTACCTATGCAAATCGATTTCTGTACTTATGGTCGCTCTTATCCGTCCGCAGAAGTTTAGTTGCACGCCTTACCACAAAATGCAGGAAGGCAGTGTTGACCGCATGGACGAGCATGGACAGATTGTTCCTCGCAATTACTTTCAGCTTAGAAACATAGGCTTAATCGTAGTGTATAGGATGTGTCATTTGGGAAGATCCCGAAGGGACCTCCCGTACCCCCTAGCCTAATCGCCACTGCAGTCCGAGGATCTGCATCGTCGCCCCGAAGTGCCAGCAACGGAAGCGTTCAAAACTAACCTTAAAAAGGCATATTTTGTTGTGAACAAACACTTGTGAAGATCGATGGGAACTTCTTTGCGTCGGTAGCGAGGAGGAACAACGAGTGGGAAAGAATGAATCGACTAAGTAAATACGTCCTTATCCGTTTTGCCGTGCATGGGTTCTATTATGAACTCTGCAAGAAACTGGATTTTGCGAGCCTGACTACACGTGCTGATGCGCTCGATGCAGGAAAAATTGTTATAGATATTGTGGCGCTCGTTGCCGTCTGGGAGTACCTTTAGGACATTTGGCAAGGCTGTTAAATTAGTTCTGTTAACTCGGCAAGACCTGCAAAGCTCGAATGGTTCTATATGCTCACTCGGATATTTGGATGTTGTGTTGTTGACATGTACATATGATGTCTTGACAAGTACAAACTCTTGAAACTTGATTGATAATTTTTTTGTGTATAATTTTTCAATCCGATTGATCGTTTTTTAATCCATTATCAACCTTTGGCTTAGTATTGCCATATGCGTTTTTCTCAGATTAGCATACGTTATCGACTAGCTGAAGGTGTGCAAAATGTATCAGATCATTAGAATAGATCATTTTCTATTCTCGCTCACTTCATCGTGAACGGCATTGTCGTCTTAGAGATTTTGATGGGGCGATTATTGGTAGAATAGATCGAAAAAATGACCATGCACGGATTTCACAGGGGTTTTCCACACTTTGGTGTTTATGCACAGGCGTTCTTCTTCGATCGTGATGATATTGCGTTCAAGAACGTGAAGAAGTATTTCGCCAAAGCGTCCGATGAGGAGCGCAAGCACGCCATGAAACTCATGGAGTACCAGAACATGCGAGGTAAGCACGTACCTTTGAGGGTTTCTGGTGTAGTATTTACGTACGTATTTACTTCAGTATATTTTTCACTGAAATTTCTATATCTTTGACTTTGTGTCCTTATTTTATGAGCCAGATGTCCCAAACGTCAATACGATAATTCGCTTACAACTGAGGTTATAACAAGTTATTTTTTACGTTATTCCTTCTTCTACGCAGGTGGCCGCATTGTTCTACAACCCATCGATAAGCCTGAACGCGATGAATGGGGTTCGATTCAGGAGGCGTTCGACGCTGCGCTGGCTCTTGAGAAAAAAGTGAACCAAAGCCTGCTCGACATCCATAGGATTTCTAGTGACCACAACGACGCTCAGGTAATTGCGAGTTGTTTAAATATCAATTACTTTCATGGCAGGCAAGGTACGACTCTTTGTAACGCGTTAGTTCCCCTGCCATTGAAATAAAGCTCCCAGCTAACCCACAGAAACGATGAATCAGCCAGTTTTTGCCCCTATACTTAGCTATTGATTAGCATCAATGTAAACATTTTTCACGTATTTTTGCGTTGCACAAAACGTCAGCTGGTGTGATAATGATGCCGTTTACTCTATTAATCATTCTTACTATACTTGATGATCACTTAAACGATACTGACTAAGTTTTCACCGTTCGAAAAGTTTGCGCAGTCTCAAAGTAAGTTGATTGCTGAGACGAGAAAGCGTCAAGGTCGTTCTACCTACAGTAGCTAATTAGAGCCACTGGCGACTGGGTTTTTTGCCGTCAAATGTGTCATTATGCCATTAAATGTATGAGTCAATATTGAGAACCGCAGTGCAAAATGTGAATCATGTTATACGGGCAGAAGGTTCTGAAGCGACAGAGCTTCGGATCCGTGATGAAAATCGCCGGACATAACATTGTAAAATATTGCCGAGAAGAAATCAGCATCACGGCAAGACGAGGCGTAAAAACGAGCTCTGTGTGAATTCTAACTGATTTTAAGCTAAAGCTCTCATATTCCATTGCAGTTTTGTGATTTCCTGGAAACTCACTACCTGGAGGAGCAGGTTAAGGCGATCAAAGAGCTTTCCGACTACCTGACCAACATCATCCGCGTTGGTAACGGTTTGGGCGAGTTCATCTTCAACAAGGAACTCGGCGATGATTAAACAGATTTGCAACCGACTGTGATACACAACACGCAACCAATACGCTTAACGAATCAGAAACCTCGCCGCCAGCCTAGGCAGACATTTCGACGTCAGCCCGTAGTGAATGAACCAGTCAACCGATGGCTTTCTCATCCAAATAGTGATTGGCCGAAGCAAAAAAGTAAAATTTGCTTTGGGCTCCAAGCGTTCTTACATCCACCTTTCTACTACCAGGGTGCATAGTTGTACTTGTACAAGGGCTTGAAGTTATACAGACAGTTATATCGTGCTGCTGGTTTATTTGGTTTAATTTTTTGTGTCAGACAATAGGACAGTGATCGAAGAATGAAGAGCTTCCATTTAGTAAGAACGCCAGGAGATGAAGCAGACTATGATCTGGATTGCGTGTGGTATCAAGCACAGTGATTTGCTAGTGTCTTATGATTAAGCGAATGCTTACGAACGATTAGAACAAACAGCCTAATCAAATGATGTTTTGAATCGGATGCGAGAAGATTGAAGATAATTATCACTAATTGAGAAAAGAAATGACGGCAATTTATTGGTGAAACACGATAACGTGTGCCTTTGACAAATGATCTGTTTGAGGCAGGCAAAGTTTAGGCGGCGTGCGCCGCCGTTAGCGTACAGTGAATCTTGCAATGCCTTGCACTTAAATTCAATGCGGAACTGCAAAATATTAGAATAAAATTTCAGGGACTGATATCGGCTATGGACATTTTCGAACAAATAGGTAATTATCCTCAACTTGTATGTTACGAACGTTTGGTGCCCCGAAGTCTTTCAAAGGAACCCTGTTCTTCGGCATCAAGGCGGCGCAAGATACCTTAAATTACTATTTCTATATATCCTACAGTTTTCACTAGTATTACAATACTAATTATTTAAAATGCAACTCTAGCCTACTGAGCTGTCTTTGCTTAGATAACCTCTCGTTAGTTCTCTGGCACACGGTATATGTCCTGACGGCGCTCCCCTCGCACTGCTCCAAGTGTGCTACAATTAAAACCGGTTTGAAAGACATTCAATAAAAACGGATTTCAAAGCTAACGAACAACGTCTCTTCTTTTGATAGGGCAGGACATATCAGGGATAGCATGAACGTGTGTTTGTCACTACCTACTTAATTTTTTTTAACAAAACATCGTGGGACACGAAAAGATTTTCCCTAGTCTGTAATATACAATGGACAATGTCTAATATAACCCCCAAGACCTCTGGAACATGCAAAGAAATCAAACCACGAACTCTTTGGGGCACCGTTTAAAAGCTTTGTGTACAATAAAAGTTGCGAGACGTATATTTTGCCTAATCGCAGCCAACAAGTCATCAAAAGTAAAAGTCGTAAAAAGATCAAAGTGGCCAAAAACTCTAGGACAAGGAAAAGTATCTGGGCGTTCAGCGATGCGACGATATGCATGCAAGATTCTGCTTCCAAACAGGCTATGTCGGAGACTACCGATCTGAGGTGGTCAGAACACTTCGTGGTCCCGGGTACAGTGATCTTCAGCATGAAAACTTGTTTTATATAATGTTTCGAAGCAGACCTTATTGGCTTAGTCGTCAATTCTTTGGCTATTACAGCTTTTCATTGTATCCGGATTTACTTTTTCGCCCTGGGCTTGTGGCGCATGCGTCGTAAATGGTAGGAATTTCATCCTGATTTTCGTCTCACTTTATTTGGTTCGTAAGCAAATAATACCTTGTGAATAACCTTAGTAACGTAAACATGACGACCATTACAAAACTCTGGGCAGGCTGGATGGGATGATAGATTTATCATTGCTTGAAGTTAAATTTTGAACTAAATTTAAACCTGAATTCGAAAAAGCAACTATTAACTTTCAATTAATTTTATTCTTTTTTTTTTTTTGTGATCATCGTGTCAAAATTGTCGGCGAAAAGCGAAAAAAATATACGACTATCATTTGGCTCCTTATATCTTTAAGCTTTTTTCGATGCTCTAGTCATATGTCATATGCATTACGGTTCTTATCTTTTTTCCTGCAAAAAACGAATTGCAGCTCTTTAAGCATTTGTTACATTAATATGATTCCTGTTTCTAGCTAAGGCGAACCAAAAACGTGCACTGTACTGCGTATTGCAGTACTTTTCCAGTTGTCAACGTCATAGCATCCTTATCGTGTGATAATTCAGTGTTTAGATCGTCAACAATAAAGCCTTAATCTACTACAGGAAACGACAACAATAATAAGCTACAATATCTTGATATTATTAATACGGGAATTGAGCGACTAGTGAGTATACATAAAATTTACACAGAAATCCCCCTGTTAACTAATCCCCGTTAATTTTTTGACATCCGTTTCTTTAACAGAGCACTTTATTTTCTAAAATATATATTATTTCTGTGAAATATGTACGACGTTATTTCTCAGAAATGTTCTCTATATATAAAATATCCCGTTTAATATCCGGTACATGATCGCTTTAACTAGACATTTTTCAAACACAAAACGAAATAGGAAAAGTTTTGAACCTATACTACCTAACGTATTTTTCAATTTTAGTACGCAGATATGCTATCCGTCTTCGATCACCGCCACACCCGTATATTACATCGACTCCAAATTAGGCGCTTTGAACCCTATTTTCCTCGATTGCGGTTGCTGTAAACACCAGCATTGACTTACAGCGTCAACACTAGATGGCGCCACTAGTTATTCAATAGGATCGCATGATAGCGAAGCAATAGGAAGGCCGACTTCTTTCTTTCCTAGAATTCAAACCACGATACCGCTATCTTGTAGAACGAGGATAGCATAAAATCATCAGAGTGCCACTCAACAGCCTTGTGTTGTGTGAGCTTCATACATACGTCCTATTAAATCATACAAGGAGGCCAGACGGGATCGTCTATGCAAATATTAGGTACACAGTGGTCCAAGAAAATGAACTGACAGCATGAGCTCATATGCAATCATTTGCAGAATTACAGTAGCGTTATCGCTGCCAGCAAATGGGCTAATTATTATTGGGATAGTCCGACATTGGCCTTATCGACAGATAGTTCAATGCTTGGTGTGTCCGATTTCGTTAAACTGTTCTGGCACGGTATCCAAACAGGTACTAATCTAATTTGTGTGATGATCATACGTGTGCGAAATATCCGCTCTATCGCATAAGCTGTTTGAACGTGCGCTTCTATGCACTGATGTGCTTTCACATAGGTGAAAATGGCAGTAAGCTGCTTCGGACACCACAACAAACCGTCACTTTCCTAAATATATCTATAATGTTAAGCCTTTTGTCTCGTAAACGTATGTTGCCTGAAGTCTATCCTCCTATCGGCTACAACGGTGAGGGTATTCACTCGAGTCAATGGGCGCAGCTCCCGAATTGTCCATTTTCTATTGCACGGATCCGATTTGGTGTCATACGTTGATGTTAATGGTAAGACCAGTTGGTGAGGGAATACCGTAAACCGTAGTAAAAATAAATCATGTTGATATAAGATACCTAAATTCCTACTTCTATATATATATATATATAAGAGTCCTACTTATATATGTCGTGTTCCATTTCGGTTTATATCGATTTTGCCGATGTCCGGTTCCTTCCAATCGCTTGGCAAACCAAGTAACCAATTCTAAAACATTTCGCCGACGTAGATGTAGTTATGAGCAAACATTCTACAGATGCCCAAATAATAATTACGCATCGAACGGATCAATATCGGGAAGTTCCCGATTTCAGTAATAATGACAATAATTGATAATTATCGACTGAGGGATTCAGTCTGGTAAACACTCACAGTTACTGACAGAACACTGACAAGTTATTTAGTATCAGCGCTATTATACGATTTTAAGTTTTTCAAGAGTAGGAACAGCAGCTAATGTTAGGACATATAAAAGCCTTTCTCCGTTACGGGTTCTCCTATTCTCTTTTTATGAAATGATTTTGCATATAATTACGTTGTTAAACCCCAATGCGGAACAACGATATAGATGCTTTGCTTACTATTTTTCATGGCGAGTGAAATATATCAACACGGTTGGTTATTGGCCAGCTCTTTACTTCCGAACAAATAACATTATAAATGGGCATTATAGTGAAAATAATAAGAGATCTATCTGCGTCACACGAAACTTCCACCGTTAAATTATATTCAGCACATACTGTATCTTGTTTATTTACATCAATGCAACATTTTCGCTTCCTATAAAAAAAATACTAGTACAGCTGTTAACCTAAGGATTCTATGCCACAGAAGTAAAATGGCTTTAAGTACCTTGGGCAGAAACCCTTCTAGTGTCCACCGACGGGGTGATTGGACGATACCGTTGTTCTGTGCACCAAAAGGAGCATAGTGAATCTCTAAGCTGAGTAGGCTGCTAACCTAGTCACTGTTTAGAAGATGCTATTTCCAGCGTCCTATCGTTCCTGGGGATTGTTTCTAGTACCTGAAGTTACTGTAGTGGGTTCCTCGAATTCTCGCTCGCAGCGAACTCGGGACGCATTTGGGCAAATCGAAAATTAGCTTCAACTGGTAAGCAAATGGCGGACATTGAGCCGCGCTCCGGTGACGCCTACTAAAAGTTTCTGGGTGAATGGCAAAGATATGGATAAGTTTAAGGTGTACCTATTGAAACGCCATATCAATTTTTTACTATTTACAGGTCGCTGTAAGCAAGTAATTAATTGATCGAGAGTGACTGTACTTTTCGTTTCCCGCCATTGCATCGTCATCTCTTTGTTTCGAGCTTTACGTCGGTACCGCCGGTAGGCGTTCCATCAGACAGCTGGCTTTTAGCGTGAGACAACATTTGTCTATGCTCGGATTCGAACCCACACTATAAGCAGTCCTTAGGATTATCAGGCAAATACCACGGGGAGTGCATGATCATCCTAAGTTCTCGCAATGTATTACCCTTTTTTTATACTAGCTCTCTCTCTCCCTCTCTCTCTCTGTTTTAATCTATTAATTGTTTTGATTAACGAGCACGATAGTAGGTTCTGCAGTGATCCTTACGGCTCGACCTTGCGGGCAAAAAATAGTATTAGGTAGGCGATAACGTAACCTGTTCAACAGCGCAATTCCCCCTTTAACTTATTGCAGATTTCCTATGCGTTCAAAAACTGTTTTTATTTCATTCGTTCTAGAACTAGCATCGCTTCAATATCGCCAAACCATGTGTCGTTGTACGGCGCATTAAGTTCCACTTGGCTACTATGCATGAAGAGCCCATTTCTTTCCCAGTTTGGCACTAATCATTTCAACTGATGCTGCCTTCCGCTCGGCTGTTGATAAGTGGTTCTTCTGCGTTCTTTTGCCGTTGTCGTTTACTAGCCCTTTTTACTCTCCAGCCAGACTTCGGTTTCCTGTTTTTCCTCTCACAGTAGTTCTGCTTCTCTTTGGCTCTCCCGTGTATTCCGTAATGTCGTCTTGGTTTATGCACCTGTTTCATTCATTTTTCTCGATGGCGACAATCACCTCTACCTCCGCGTACGGAGATCGTGTACATCGTCAAGACCAATGTCAAAGTTCGTCTGTCCGAATTTCCGTCAAAAGCTTCGTACAAATCTGCTTTTCCCTTTTTTCTCTGCCAGGCTGACTGGGCTAAGTGAAATGTATGGGCGACAGATGGGACAAGTGAATGCCCCCTCACCATATGCTTATCTGGTGCCGAAGTGCGAGCGACCATAGTTAGTCTATGAGAAGCTTACACGTACACCCGAGAATCAAGCGACCAGAAGGACGGTAAACTACCGATGCAGGTAGATACGGCTATAGGGACAGCCATTTTGCCCCGTTTTACCAGTAGCAATGTCTGCGCCGACACGCCCCCATGTGGCCTGCTAATGCAGTAAGGTATTCGTCCTCGAGCACTTCGCTACGAGCAGTAGTAGTCATATGGTAGTTGTAGTAGCGAGCGGTGTCTGTGTTGCCGACCAAAGGCTTGTTGCCCGGTCCATTTCCTTGGTGCTCATCGTTGGTGCATGTAGCAACCCCAGAATACATATACGCTAGAAATACACCCTTGAAGGCTAGTGGGTGCTCCAACAGACTCACCTACTAGCTCACA